CTTTAATGGTACTGAATGATTTGAAAATATATTAGTGGGGTGTGGTGGCAAACTTGTAGTCCCAATACTTTGGGAGGCTGAGGCGGACGGATCAGCTGAGGTCAGGAATTCGAGACCAGCCTGGCCAACATGGTGAAAACCCGTCTCTACAACAATACAAAAATTACCCAGGCATGATGGTGGGTGTCTGTAATCCCAGCTACTTGGGAGGCTGAGGCAGGAAAATCGCTTGAACCCAGGAGGTGGAGGTTGCAGTGAGCTGAAATCATGCCTTTGCATGAATGAATAAATCCATTCCTGGATTAATGGATTCAGGGATTATCTCAGGAGTAAGACTAGTAGCTTAATAATAAGATGACTTGACTTGAGATAGCACATCAGTTCCCTGGACATATGATACCTACATTGTCTCAGAAGTCTTCAGAGTTCCTGCCAGCAAGAAGGCCCTCACTAGATGCATCCCCTTGGACCATGAACTCCTCAGCCTTCATAACAGTAGAAAATAAATTTATTTTATTTATATATTACTCTGTTTTAGCTATTCTATTATACACAACACAAAACAGATTAAGAATTCTAATTCCAGGAACCTATAATAAGAAAATAAATAATGATGTAAACATTGATTTATGTTTAAGGTGGTTCTTTGCTGCATTATTTGTGAGAGTAAAAAATTCTAGAAAGAACTAAATATCCTATGGTAAAATTAGTCCTATGAATTATTTTGTGTCATACAAGGAATTAAGTCTCTAATAGTAGAAGATGTTTAATAACATTAAAAATTTTCACAAATAAATGTTAAGTACAAAAAGCATGTTAAAAAGTATGTGTATATTTTTACAGCAGTAATCTCTGTGGATTTCAACTTTTTTTGTTGTTTTCTGTGTTTCCTGAAACCTATATAAGTAACATGTATTTCATTATCTTACAATATAATACATACTTTATAGGAAACACAGACTTTTTCTACTCTGTGTGATTATCTGCAAGGTCTTGTGAACATATAGAAAAGAGTAAAACAAGTGCTCAACAAATATATACTTAATCAATTAATATAATAAACAATTGTGGAAATATAGATCTTTCTCATACTTGTAGTGTATGTAGTACAGTGTGATATATAGCTAAGAGTATTTACCCTTACTGGGCAAAACTTTGGTTGCCTTATTCATGTTAAATAACAAAAATAATAAATTAGAATTTCTGAATATATAAAATTATATTTTGATCAATATTCTTTCCGATAAGCCCAATATGAGATTTATTACAAAAATGAGACTATATGAGAAACTCAGTTTTACTCCAAATAGCCAAACCTATGGCCCAAAGTAATAAAAAACATAAAGTGATGTGAACATAGGACAGTGATACTTTAAGCCACAAAAGAAAACTGTACATGCATTTTGACGTGTTTTACTGAGATTGCTATTTCTTTCATGAGAAACAAAAGTTGCTAAGTTATAAAAAGCGATATACTATTAAAGAAATATTGTAAAAATATTGTATTAACTTCACCTTCAGTAATTGTGTAATATTTTCATTATCTTAGCACCCAATTCCTAGAATGTTACAATCTACAAAAATAAAATATGAAAATATGTGTGAGAATCTTACATTCTAAGCATATTTGTTTATAGGTACAATTGATTTGTAACCCTCTTGTAGTTTACAATTATTATCTCAAGATGAAAAAATTCACAATGACCCCTTTATCTTATGACAGTAGTAGATTAAACTCAGGACCAATGAATTCTCTCCCCCAGTGGTTATACTGTTTATTACTGGTTTCAAATCATAGCAAATATTAAATATGGTAACAATTATCCTGAGTTCAAATGTGAAAAGTCTAAGGAAAGCAAGAGACACTAGGTCTGTTGTAAAATCATTTTTAAAATGTTTTGGATTCAGAAAAAAAGAATGTGAAGGGATCAAAAAAATCAGAAACTATAATATATACTAGTATATGTTAAATATACTAGTAAGGAAACTGATCCACAGAAAGCTTAACCAGAGTCATAAATGGCATTGTATTATATATTAAGGACAAAGAGAGACTTAGTAGAGTGAAAGCTTAGCTCAGGAGTCTGTAGCTTTGTTACCATAACAAAATCAACTGATGTTTTTTAATCTTGGTAAATTACTCAGTGTTACTCAGCGTCAGTTTCCACATCCATAAAATAGGATCAATTTGACTATTAACCAACCAGTTATCTATAGTTCTCTGCAATAAAAAGTGTTGTGGATGAGGGAAGAGTAAAGATAGACTTCCTATATGTAATTTTGTATTTGTTAAAAAAGTATCACTTTTACAGTTAAAAATTAGAACAGTAATTTTTAAAGTTATTGTGAAGATTAAATAAACTGAACAAAAAATGTTTGTTATAAATTCTACTTTTTCATTTTAAAAATGTAGTACATATGTGGAAATATCTATAAATTTGATGCCATTTGGGAAAAAATGAATAATTAACTGAAAATTTTTTCTTAATCTGAGAAAATTATTTATTGAACAATCAACATGCAACTTTTCTTGTTTGCGAGGAGAACTTGTTTGATGAAGAATAGAAATGTGTGAACATTTAATGACACAATTGAAATCTTTCTGGCCACAGTCAGGAAATTAAACTATAGCTCTGAGCAAATATTATCAATCATCATCATCATCTGGAATATCCTTTATCTCCAGCTACTGAGATTATCTGTTGAGAGGCAAGACAACTGAAGGAGTTCACTTGAGCTCAAATAGATAGTGTGGAACCCTTTTAAGAAGAATTCATGCCTAAGAAATATTCCCCTAAGGTATTAGAAATGTTTAGATCACATATAAATCCCTTATATTTTTATTCTCCACCAATACATTTATTGTTTAACTTGAATAGTTAGGCTTTGAAGTTGTAGACGTGGTTTTCTAGACTGTTTTATGTCTCTAAAATGTATTTATTATGAAAATACTTTAAAATTATGATAGCTACTATAGAGGGTGCATTTCAATACACTTGTATGTGTACCTCTATATTTTGCTTGCAAGTTTGTATTGGAGATCTTCATATAGGAGGTATAATCTCAGTCTTTTCTTCTCAGGTTTAGTTGCTCATCTGGGAACTACCACACTTTTTTCTTAGAGTGCAGAGATAAGAAATTATTTGAAGAGGATATAATATTTAAAATGTTGTAAGGTACGAAGAGAATATAATTTAAAAGATGTTGTAAGGTACCTGAATAGGAGAATCCTAATTGTAAATTTTCTATTGTGATTGGTGTGGTAAGAGGAAAGAAGAAATAAGGGATTAGAGAAAGATAGAGTTTAAAGGGTGAAGAGGAGAATGAAATATGAATACAAACTGTAGGTTATCTAAATTCATTTAAACCAACTTAAATATGTTTTTGGAGTCTCTTCACATAAAGATAATATTCTGCAAGTTGAAAAAAGCAGGTAACCTTTTAAGCTTAAAAATGTGGATTTTAGATGATTGTTCTTTCTAAACAGCCAGCATTTTTCTCTTTTCCTTGAATCTTGCCTATCCCTATCAATCACCAACACCATAAGGCTGACTTCCTTTATCAGAGTGGTTTCTTGGGCCAAGATATTTTAGACCTGAGTCCTATTTAAGAAGAGACAGAAAAATTATTTCCTTCAGTTGAACTCCTTCACATCTGCAGTTCTCAACTGCATAGCATTTCTTTAGCATAATGGTTTCAGATTGATTAAGGTCTTTTTTTTCACTCTCTATATGTGGTAATGGGTCAAATTAAATGAGAACAGAGTTATTTCAGAAGTGTATCATGATGTCTAAAAAAGATGTCTCTAGTGTACACACATGCACACACACACAAACACACTCATGCATGCACATACACACACACACTGAGATGTCTTCATCCCCACCTCCCTTCACTGAATTTCACCAGAGGAATATAACAAAAATATTTTGTCATATGAAAACGTTATGTATAGATATTTTCCCCACCCACCTAGAAATTAGCTTCTGACCCAGAAAAAAAAAAAAAAAATCTTGTAAGTAAACATCTTTAAGACCTTCCTTAGCGTTGGGAATTTTCCCAACCCCGGTCCTTTCCCCCAAATTTTTACTCCCCATCTTTCTCAAAATACACACTTCGTAGAACATTTGCTCTTTTGCACAAATTATTAACAGGCTTGTAGCAGCTGTCCAACTTGCAAAAGACCTAATTAAAAAGGCAAGTGATGTAAACATATCCTCTCTGCATAGAGTGAAGAAAGGACCAAACAGTAACTATTTAAAAGACATAAAAATTTCAAATCTTAGAATTATCTATAAATATTTTGGGATGTATTGATGGAAAAGGTGTCGACTCTGAAAGGAAAAGTCAGCAAAACAGGCTTCACGGAAGCAGCACGTTCACGTTTCCTTGCCTCCTGGAAGGTGATATTACTGGATTTTTATAAGCTCTGAGTTTGGAATCTGGTGTTTCCTTCACTGTAAAAAAGCCTGAGCTTCGTGTTTCCCCAGCATCAGTGACCCAACAAGCATCTGCGCGAGGAGGAGCTGCCGGCTACCTGCAGATAGCGTTCGCGCTGAGCTTTAGAGTCCAGAGATTTCTATCTCCTCCTCTCAAAATGCAACTGGTTATTTACTTGTAAATATTTAAATTAGTTCAAACTGATGTGGAAACTTTGTCAATGGGGTGTGCGTGTGTGCGTGCGTGTAGTGTGCGCGCCCCTGCCTGCCAGTGGGTTTTTAACAGCACTCACAAATCATCTTGGGATTTTGCCCTGCCCCCTCCCTTCTTTTCCGGTTCTCAATTAAAGCTTTCGGGACTGGAATCAAGGACTTAAGCGTGCATTGTGTTTCACCCTCCAGAGTTAAATAACATTCAAGAAATATCATCAAAGAACCTAACTCTCAATGATCAACTTGACTAAATTTCTGCAAGTTTTAAAAAGTATATGCCTAATTTATATACCTTGCAACAAAAAATTCATACTCAATTAAATATTATGTAACATATATGTTCCGAAAGCCACTTTCAACATACCAAAAAAAAATGTTTCAAAGACATCAAATAGCATAAAACACTGTGCCGCAGAGAAGGAAGAAATGCATTTAAAGCACCGATGAAAATGGCGTGCAGTGTAATTACCTCAAATTGCTGTTCGCTTGACACCCTGACACTAATTTTATTCAAGCCATTGGGAAATAAAGGTTTTAAAAGCACTCCTTTCCGAATGGTGGAGCTGGTGGGGGCTGTGAGCTCGTTAAGGAAAGGAAAGGGTAAAGTTTCCAGCACGCAAAAAGAATCAAATAATCCATTTAAAATAAGCGTCTATGTAGATCGTCAGCCTTTTATGCCCACATTTTTAACGCTTGCCCTGTACGTGGATTGATTTTTTTTTTCTTTCAGCATTCCTTAGCCAGATGGATTTTTGCTACTGCAGATCAGCAGAGGGTGTCAGATCTTTCAGAGTGCACCAGGCTGGAACGAGCAGAGCTTCTTAGCAACTCTCTTCTCCGCCCCCCTCCCCTCATTCTCGCGCTCTCTTCCTCCCTCAGACAACTCGCCCTCCGCCCTCCGCCCCCCTCCACGTAATTCCGAAAGAGCAGAAGAAAGAGAAGGAGAACAGGAAAAGAAGAGCTAGTAAGCTAGAGCGAGAGCACAGAAAAAAAAAAGAAAAAAAAAAAAAAACCTTAAGAGGACCGAAGGGGAGAAAAGGAAAAGGATGGACAACCACAAAACGCAGCGATTGCGGAAATTTTCCAGCGCCATTGGCTGGGCAGCGTGAGTCCTTCGGTCGGGCGTGATTTCAGCACCGGGGGGACTGGACAGCACCTCGGGGGGACTTCTGGGCAACCCGCAACCACAGCAAGAACTCCACCAGCAGCCTCAACAACAGAAGCCGCGGAAAAGCCTGCTTTGTATCAGAGAGGCAAGGTCAGTCCGACGCACAGCCATGCACAGGCAGTGCGCCTGTACTACGCTGCAAACCCTCTGCTTGTTTCTCTAACATGCACTTGCTTCTAATTACTAGCATTGTTTCATTTCTGATCAGTGAGGATCAGTAGATGAGATTCTGTAAGGGTGTACTTTTAATTTATATGTATATATTTAACTTCTTTTGCTGTTATTTTTAAAGGGTTGTGGGGGAGTGGGGTTTTTTTCCTACTTTTTTTTTTTTTTTTTTTTTTTTTTTTGCTTGCCTTGCACTACGTGCCTGGATAGTTTGTGGATATAATTATTGACTGGCGTCTGGGCTATTGCAGTGCGGGGGGGTTAGGGAGGAAGGAATCCACCCCCACCCCCCCAAACCCTTTTCTTCTCCTTTCCTGGGTTCGGACATTGGAGCACTAAATGAACTTGAATTGTGTCTGTGGCGAGCAGGATGGTCGCTGTTACTTTGTGATGAGATCGGGGATGAATTGCTCGCTTTAAAAATGCTGCTTTGGATTCTGTTGCTGGAGACGTCTCTTTGTTTTGCCGCTGGAAACGTTACAGGGGACGTTTGCAAAGAGAAGATCTGTTCCTGCAATGAGATAGAAGGGGACCTACACGTAGACTGTGAAAAAAAAGGCTTCACAAGTCTGCAGCGTTTCACTGCCCCGACTTCCCAGTTTTACCATTTATTTCTGCATGGCAATTCCCTCACTCGACTTTTCCCTAATGAGTTCGCTAACTTTTATAATGCGGTTAGTTTGCACATGGAAAACAATGGCTTGCATGAAATCGTTCCGGGGGCTTTTCTGGGGCTGCAGCTGGTGAAAAGGCTGCACATCAACAACAACAAGATCAAGTCTTTTCGAAAGCAGACTTTTCTGGGGCTGGATGATCTGGAATATCTCCAGGCTGATTTTAATTTATTACGAGATATAGACCCGGGGGCCTTCCAGGACTTGAACAAGCTGGAGGTGCTCATTTTAAATGACAATCTCATCAGCACCCTACCTGCCAATGTGTTCCAGTATGTGCCCATCACCCACCTCGACCTCCGGGGTAACAGGCTGAAAACGCTGCCCTATGAGGAGGTCTTGGAGCAAATCCCTGGTATTGCGGAGATTCTCCTAGAGGATAACCCTTGGGACTGCACCTGTGATCTGCTCTCCCTGAAAGAATGGCTGGAAAACATTCCCAAGAATGCCCTGATCGGCCGAGTGGTCTGCGAAGCCCCCACCAGACTGCAGGGTAAAGACCTCAATGAAACCACCGAACAGGACTTGTGTCCTTTGAAAAACCGAGTGGATTCTAGTCTCCCGGCACCCCCTGCCCAAGAAGAGACCTTTGCTCCTGGCCCCCTGCCAACCCCTTTCAAGACGAATGGGCAAGAAGATCATGCCACCCCAGGGTCTGCTCCAAACGGAGGTACAAAGATCCCAGGCAACTGGCAGATCAAAATCAGACCGACAGCAGCGATAGCGACGGGTAGCGCCAGAAACAAACCCTTAGCTAACAGTTTGCCCTGCCCTGGGGGCTGCAGCTGCGACCACATCCCAGGGTCGGGTTTAAAGATGAACTGCAACAACCGGAACGTGAGCAGCTTGGCTGATTTGAAGCCCAAGCTCTCTAACGTGCAGGAGCTTTTCCTACGAGATAACAAGATCCACAGCATCCGAAAATCGCACTTTGTGGATTACAAGAACCTCATTCTGTTGGATCTGGGCAACAATAACATCGCTACTGTAGAGAACAACACTTTCAAGAACCTTTTGGACCTCAGGTGGCTATATATGGATAGCAATTACCTGGACACGCTGTCCCGGGAGAAATTCGCGGGGCTGCAAAACCTAGAGTACCTGAACGTGGAGTACAACGCGATCCAGCTCATCTTCCCGGGCACTTTCAATGCCATGCCCAAACTGAGGATCCTCATTCTCAACAACAACCTGCTGAGGTCCCTGCCTGTGGACGTGTTCGCTGGGGTCTCGCTTTCTAAACTCAGCCTGCACAACAATTACTTCATGTACCTCCCGGTGGCAGGGGTGCTGGACCAGTTAACCTCCATCATCCAGATAGACCTCCACGGAAACCCCTGGGAGTGCTCCTGCACCATTGTGCCTTTCAAGCAATGGGCAGAACGCTTGGGTTCCGAAGTGCTGATGAGCGACCTCAAGTGTGAGACGCCGGTGAACTTCTTTAGAAAGGATTTCATGCTCCTCTCCAATGACGAGATCTGCCCCCAGCTGTACGCTAGGATCTCGCCCACGTTAACTTCGCACAGTAAAAACAGCACTGGGTTGGCGGAGACCGGGACGCACTCCAACTCCTACCTAGACACCAGCAGGGTGTCCATCTCGGTGTTGGTCCCGGGACTGCTGCTGGTGTTTGTCACCTCCGCCTTCACCGTGGTGGGCATGCTCGTGTTTATCCTGAGGAACCGAAAGCGGTCCAAGAGACGAGATGCCAACTCCTCCGCGTCCGAGATTAATTCCCTACAGACAGTCTGTGACTCTTCCTACTGGCACAATGGGCCTTACAACGCAGATGGGGCCCACAGAGTGTATGACTGTGGCTCTCACTCGCTCTCAGACTAAGACCCCAACCCCGATAGGGGAGGGCAGAGGGAAGGCGATACGTCCTCCCCCGCCGCAGGCACCCCCCAGGGGGCTGGAGGGGCGTATACCCAAATCCATCAGCCTGAATGGGCATAAGTAGATAAATAACTGTGAGTTCGCACAACCGAAAGGGACTGACCCCTTACTTAGCTCCCTCCTGGAAACAAAGAGCAGACTGTGGCGAGCTGGGAGAGCGCAGCCAGCTCGCTCTTTGCTGAGAGCCCCTTTTGACAGAAAGCCCAGCACGACCCTGCTGGAAGAACTGACAGTGCCCTCGCCCTCGGCCCCAGGGCCTGTGGGGTTGGATGTCGCGGTTCTATACATATATACATATATCTACATCTATATAGAGAGATAGATATCTATTTTTCCCCTGTGGATTAGCCCCGTGATGGCTCCCTGTTGGCTACGCAGGGATGGGCAGTTGCACGAAGGCATGAATGTATTGTAAATAAGTAACTCTGACTTCTGACAAAAATCAAAAAGTGCTGCATGGCTCGCATGGAATCCACGCGCTCCAGGGACTCTGCCCGCCCCCGCGACTGGAGACGGCATCTCCTTCACAGCACCCACCCTCTTACCTGATAAGTTCCATCGTATCAAACTTTCTATAAACAAAATACAGTATAATCAGAAAGTGCCATTTCGCCATTATTTGTGATCGGTAGGCAGTTCAGAGCATACTTTAACTGTGAAAAAAAATGTAAAGGTTTTATTTAAGACATTTGCATGGCTAGTCATCAGTCCATTTTATGAGTTAACAATGTATTTTGTTGAGGGAAGTTTTTAGGGGTTGTTTTGGGTTCTTTTATTTTGATGGTGATGTTTTATTTTATTTTATTTTTTTCAGGGGGACTTTTTTAATACATATCCAATAATGCCTTCCATCTGAATGTAAAATAAGTACCCATGATTTCTATTATAGTATCAGTGTAATTATTTAAAAAATGATTTTGAGGCAGTTAAGCATGACCAATTAATGTCACTCTAGTGCTTAGGCTGCGATCCTATGGTAGCAATTCTGTGCTGGTATAAATCTTACTTATAAAGTAGGAAAAAAGAACCGAGGAAGCACGTGAAACTTACTAATTCTATTCGAGGATTTTATAATGGCATATTTTTTCAGTATTAAAGTGAAAATGTTTTCAACTCTGGGTCCTTACCTTTTTCCAGCTTCATATTTGCAAGTGGTAAATTGGATTTGCGGTGGAAGAGACAGGGGAGGGAAACGGTTGGGGGTAGATCCCTTCCTGAGCTCCATTAAGGCTCTTTCTCTAATCGCCTTACTTAGCTTTTTACCCTTTAAGTAGCTCCTCTTCCCTCGTCCCCACCCTCCACCCCACCCCCACCTTCGCTCAGACTTTACCGGCTTTCCCCAGTCCATAAAGGTCTTGCCCCAACATACACCCCTTCGTTTTGTCCCCTCTCCAAATGCAGCAGTGAATCCCTTTATTAATACTGGAAATCCCTCACTGCTGCTTTTGTTGGTGCTGCCCACACTGCAGATATATTAAGGATGTTAGGAGAGATTTGATGTAATTGACTCTGCCTAGATCGGTCTCATTAAACAGAGTGGAGATTTCATTGGTCAGCACTCCTCAATGAAAGACAGACCTAATGACTGGCATTTGAGATGCTGCTGGCATTTTGAATTCAACATCTGCTGAAAACGGTAAAACTAATTAGTGCCCACCCACCCTCCCCGCCCCAGCAACTGCATATTGAAATTTGTTAAAGCACTCATCTTTATGGAAATTAATCATTATCCTAAAGAAGTGTTTCTCTCCCATCATCCGGATTTCTGGTTGTGGCCCAGCAATTAACAAAAACAGCATTCAACTGTTCGAATTTTTTGAACCATTGTAACTCTGGCCTCAATCATATTCCTCTGGGATTTCTAAACAACAGTTAAGCTACAAAAAGCAAACAAAATCACACATATTGATGGAGTCTGCATTCCACCACATATCCACCCTTGAGAAGTATGTCAAAAGACTGCAGACTATAGATATTTTTTAAAATATAGGATTATAGATCAGCTACTGAAAGACCCCAGAGCAGTTGTAAGTAGATCTGCCATCTAGAACTCATTCTAAAGGGAAGTGATTTCCCAGAACAGTAATGTTCTGGAATATGTATTATTTATTTTAACACTTTTTTAATAAAATCTTTATTATAAACCATGACTATTCCTAAGGACATTCATCATTTTCTCTCTTGATTCTTTTGTTTGTGGACTGCATTTCATGACAGTAAACCTGCAACCTACTCCCCTCTGACAGATATTATGGGTTGTTTTCTATTTATTAATTTCTCACAGGATGGCTTTATTCTTTTTACAGAAAGTACAACGGGGTTCTCGGTAAGCAATCAACAGATTTACCTGTGATGGAAAAATTAGGGGAGAAGAGGCATACATTCGACAATGTTATGACCTTTAGAAAGAAAAGAAAAAATGACAGGTGTAGAAACAGTATCTCTGGTGGAAGGTGACATTTAATGACAGATATCTAGTGAGGCATATTAGTAATTTTGAAACTGATACATGACTAATCTAGGTCAGGAAACTAGAATTTCTCATAGAAGGTGTGCACAGAGGGAAGAACTTTTCTTCATTTTCATTGAAAATAAATTACAATATAGAAACCAAGGTTAAAGGGGTAAAAGTATTTTTAAATAGTAGCTTCCATGATTTTGGAGTATTCATTGTGCGCCACGCGTGTGCTAAGCGATTTATGTAATTATTTAATTTAATCTCCATAACCACAGGGCAGTTTAGTAAGATACTATTTCCATTATACAGATGAGAAAATTGAGGCTTAAGAAAAGTCAGCAGTAACTCTGGTCATACATGGTAAATAGCGGAGTGGAATTTAAATTCAATTTTCCTTGTACTCAAAGACCTTATATTTTGAGTGAGTAATCATATACATTTACCCGATCAAGTTCTTAAGGCAATCTTAAAAAAGTAAGCATTTATGAAAATACTGTATAACTAATTATGGACTCAGTTTGTATGTTCATACCCAAATATGTATTGGTGGCCCTTTATACTTCCAGTATTTCTTGCAGCAACAGAAATTTGCCCTTCATTCAGTGGTGATAACTTCAGTGTGTTCTCCAAGAGTAGTATATAAGAAGACATAGCACATAAGAGAAAAGATGAGTCTGCTAAATGAGTTCAAAATTACAGATATTCAGATGATTGAAACTAAATCATCTATATATTGACTCTAAGAATATTTTAATAAATAATATTAATGTTAAAAATCTATGTACAAAAGATACCCAATAATTTCATGTGTGAGAACATTTTTTATTTAATCTGGAAGGGTTTTATTCATTTTGATAAAATATCTCTGTAACAATTATGTAATTAATATACATTAGTTTTATACACGTATATGTTAGTTTATAGGATACATAATGCATTTGGTCACACCATGTAACTTTCATTTTAAAATACTTAGTATCTTCTCTTTGTTTTGTCTTTGCATCAAATGCTCATGTAACTATAGTTATCATGTGCATTAGTTGAGATATCTTGTTTCTAGTTAAATCATTCTTTAGTTCATTAAAGTAAAAGAGATTTTAGTTGTGCCCAATGTAAAAGGAGAAAAGAAAGTTCTTGTTTAGTTACATTACCTTAGAGAAATTAGTAGCTTCTGTGGCTGCTGCTATAACTAAGAATATGCTAGAATTTATGTTGTTGCCATAGAAATTTATTGTTTAACCATTTTTACATGCTTACCCAAGAGGAGACTGAAATAGCTAATATAATATTAACATAACAAGATTCTTTGTCTTAACAGTATTTATATCATATGTACTTAGAATTGTCGGAAATTTTGATAAGTGTTAAAGTTATATTGGTGATTATAAAGACAGTTTGTTAATTTAGCTTTTTCATATTTCTAATGTTATTTAGTATATAGAAAGAGGTAGATGAATTTGCAAGGGTGAACAAGGAAGTTCTGTTTATAATGTGTTAGTGTAATATTGAAAATAGTGGTTTCTAATTCAGCAGTCCTGCTAACTAATTTATAAATCTTATTTTTATTTGTATGCTTATTTAAAGAAAAATGGAAATATAAAATGTGCTAAATATTTAATTTTAGCATGTATTAACTTTTGATTCATTTTCTCTATTATTGAAATCTATTCATTTAATCTAAGAGATGAACTCTGCACGATATCAACAGATATAGCACATGCATACTCAAGATTTTTAAGTTATATGATTTGCTTTGACATGGCCCTGAACTATAAAGAGGGCTAAATTAAATACCTTTCTTATAATCCCCTGTCATTTTCTTTTATCTGTAGTGTTACTAAGATGTTATTATAACATAAAGACATACAAGATTTTCTTCTTGGCATTGAAAAGAAATGTTACTAAGTGGTTTCATGAAGTCATCTATTAACAACAAATTTTGAAACGTGAGCTAAATTTGTTGTGACCTATTACAATTTGTTATAACCTACCAAATTTCGATCAGATTTCAGAAAAAAATTGAATAGTTAAGGTAATAACAATTTAAGTGTTTAAAAACTACAGTTTTAAAATGAAATAAACCACTGAAGATATCGTCTTTGATGATCAAGCCCAGTATAACCCTTTCCCTCAACTGACTAGCAATTTAACTTTATTGGCTTAGACCTCAATAGCCAATTAATTACTCTTTTTCCACTTACCTGCTAAATATATATTATGTTACACTTGAAATATAATTATATTTTATACCTGAACTTCACACAAAGGTGATTGGAGAATTACCTAATAGTTTGAAGACTTTTGAATGTGTTAGACATAAATATTCAATTGGCAACATTAATTGGGCACTTGCCACATAAAAAATATTATAGAAGCTCTCTTGGGAAAATAAAATAAAGCAATTCAAACCTCAAGTAGTTTATGCCCTACAAAGGTGATATATATACATCATTGGAATTATAGAACAGCGCATAACTGGCAGTGTTTAAAGAATGCCGCTAGAACATTTTGTGTTTCTTTCAAGTAAATTAGGTTTTAAATCATTTGAAATATGTAATCATTACATCAGCTTTATTAGTTAGTATAAATAGATGAAAACCTTAAAACAATGTTTTAAATGATGGAAGTAATTTAATTACTTTACTAGTCTTATTTTCATTTCTTTTTCTGTGAAATGGGAATAATTCCTGTTATTTTATGACTTCATGAAGAGTTTTCTAATAAGCATTCTAAAAAGAAATAATCAAACCAGTTTTTATCAGGACAAGTGAATGACTGACAATTTTTCAATTTACTTATCTGGGAAATCAAACATGACATTAGAAAATTCAATAAAATTTTTTCTATTTTTTTTTTTTTTTTTTTTTTTTTTTTTTTTTTTTTTTTTTGAGACGGAGTCTCGCGCTCTCGCCCAGGCTGGAGTGCAGTGGCCGGATCTCAGCTCACTGCAAGCTCCGCCTCCCGGGTTTACGCCATTCTCCCGCCTCAGCCTCCCTAGTAGCTGGGACTACAGGCGCCCGCCACCTCGCCCGGCTAGTTTTTTGTATTTTTTTTTTAATAGAGACGGGGTTTCACCGTGTTAGCCAGAATGGTCTCGATCTCCTGACCTCGTGATCCGCCCGTCTCGGCCTCCCAAAGTGCTGGGATTACAGGCTTGAGCCACCGCGCCCGGCCCAATTTTTTCTATTATAAGAAGATTAGAAATAGTCTCTGGGCACTTAGGTTTGATTTTTGTTGTTTATATATGTATAATAGATTTTGATTATAGAAGCTTTAATATAATATTGTATATAATTTTACAATTTTACTGTAAAGCTAATAATCCTCTTGCTATTTTTTTGTTTAGTAAAACTTAATATTCAATTACTTAGTAGTAATGTCCAGATGCACAAGTCCAAAGGTTTAACAAACAGGAAGGAGTAAGCTAAGCCATGCATTTACTGACTTATATGTCTTTTTCTCTTTGCTTCCAACTCCATTTCTTGGCAGAAGCATACAGGAAGGAAACATGCTCAGCTGTAGCATATCGATAGAAAAAGTCAATGTATAGTGAAAAATGAAAGTGCCTCAAATATAGATGATAAATGGCCACTCCACAGCATTATCAAAGAAGCAGTCTTTGCTTCCCAGGAAAGGAGGATAAGTGGAAAAGGGTCACTAGCACCATAAACAATAATGGCTGTTACCAGATTCTGTGACATTGATTGTGCACTTTTCCATTTTAAATCAATATCTTATTTAACATTTCCAAGCTGCATATGAAAGAAAAAAAGAAATGCACATCATTATGATAGTAATAGGATTTGGATAATATTCTCTGCTTATATAGAATTTACTGCCTCTTCCATAAAATAATAAGATTACAAAGTAGCTAAGGAATTTAATACTATGCATTGCCTCTATACTGTAGTAGAATCCATACGTTTTAGTCCAGGTCTTATTATTTATTAAAAAACCTGTCATACCTGTGATATAATTAAAGTAATTCTACATGACTAAATCATTATATCTGAAATATTTTGTTCTGTTAAATATGAAATAGTATCATACAATAATTATGTTCTAATTGATGTCCAATTAGATGAATTTTGTAGTGAATCTGATTCAGTTGTGAATCCAGTTAACTTCATTGGTCATATTTACCATCAGTGTGTTTTTTGGTAGCTTATACAGTAAATTGTTGGATATGGCTTTGTCATAACTAAGTTGATATTAACGTTAGTGAACTTCTCAATGTTTTTAAATCATGGATGTCAACTGGCTTAACTAATTATCAGACGAATCTAAAGAGATTGAAATGACTAAATTACTTAAGTAGATAATTTAATGCTGTTAATCCCTCTGTTTCCTGAATGACTAAATGTTTTCCTATATCTTAGCACATACTTTAATGAGAGAGAGAACCCTCAATTTTTTTTCTTGATCAGAAAATGTTACTTTTAAAATTTTCAGCAAAACTTTGATTGGATGACATTTGTATTTTTCACAATACCAGTCAGCTCTCCAACAATCAGATTTCATGATACAGATGGTATTTGGAATAATTAGACATTAATACATAAAAAGTAGAGTATTCCAGGAGAGTATTTTATTTTGCGCTGTAATATTATGAGGACCACAACTTGAAGCCAAGAAACTAACAGCTGGAAATAGCAGTAATCTCCAAGAATTGAATTACATGGAATGTCATGTTACTATTTTAACTCAAAATTTATAACATCAAATTAATAAGAAAGTAAGATGACAGCACATTTGAACATTATTTGCATGAGCATGACATTACTAATAGCCAGTCGAAAGATATTTATGCCATAATTTTTTACAAAATAGAGCCTTTTCTTTTCAGTATTCTTTTCATGGATAGCTAATATTTTGCCTATTAAATTTCC